TAGTTTAGAAAGTTTAATACTCAAAAGTTGCATTTTATTTGTACTCCTTGTGTGAAAATTGATAGATAATAAATAGAAATACAGATATTTTTAAAATATACAATTATTTAATGAGAGTTAATAAAAGTTGCTACAAAATAAATTATACTTAATAATCAAATAATTATATAATTAAATTTATTTATGTAACTTATAATCACAATCTTGAGTCATATATAGCATCAGTAGAATTGCCAAAACTGCACTCCCGATCCCTGTCCTCCTCGTCTTCGACTTGTGTGGCATTAAGTCTCTTAAGATGCGATTCTTTAGCCATATTTAGTAAATGATTGAACATATGTTTCCCAGTCTTGCGGCACATGTCATACAACTGTCCCTTTCGTTGCAGTAAAACAAACGGTTCGTCAAACTCTATGATCTCTCCCGCGTCTAACACCTAATGGCATCAAATCATTTATTAAGTTGTGTACAATTAAAAACTATTTATATTAAAAATTTAATAAATTATAATTAAAATACAAACCAAAACGCGATCGCAATCTATAATAGTGTTGAGTCTGTGAGCGATCGTAAGGACAGTACAGTCACTGAATTTGCGACGGATTGTGGTCTGAATTAAAGCATCGGTTTGATGGTCAACATTAGCGGTCGCCTCGTCCAGCACTAGTACCCTATTGTGCCGCAGTATAGCCCGCGCCAGACATACCAACTGCCGCTGACCTACACTCAGATTAGCGCCCCCTTCGGCCAACTGGCCGTCCAACTGGCCCGGGAGGTCCCCCACCGCCCCCTTCAGCTGCACCTCTTCTAAGGCACTCCATATCCTTTGGTCGCTGTATTCGCCGAACGGATCCAAATTTTTTCTGACGGTTCCCGTGAAGACCACCGGGTCTTGAGGTATGATTGAGATGGCAGAGCGCAAGTCACGCAAACCTATTGATCCCGTGTTAATGCCGTCCATTACTATCTGCCCCTTTGGCTCAACCATACGAAACAGGGCTGATATGATGGACGACTTGCCGGCGCCCGTCCGGCCACAGATGCCTACCTTCTCGCCCGCATTGATCACACAATTCAAGTTCTTAAGCACCGGTTTGTCTGATCCCGAGTAGTATAGACTCATATCCTTAAGCTCTATCTGTCCCCTCTGTGGCCAATCGGGAGGGGGTTTATGGCTGTCATGGGCTGTGAGGGCCGCCTCTTGCGGTAGTTTTGAGTACTCAATGATGCGCTCGACTGAAGTCATCTGACTCTCCACTTCAGCCGACAGTCGGACTCCCCATTGAGTCAATCCCATTAACATTAAGGCTATTTGTTTATAAATTTTATCTATTTATTAATTCTGTTGCCTGGTCATTTGTTATGGACTCGTTTTAACTCAATTATCAATATTATAGAATAAGTATGGTTTTTAATTATTAGAATAAAAAATTACAAAGCTAAAAGTATTGTATGTATGTAACCAAACCTGATGATAAGGCCAGTCCCGTCTCACCCGCGCCCAACTTATCGGGGAATACCATAAAAATTGTGACTATAATGACTGTATAGATAAAACACAGTCCGTCTACTATTAAGGCAAATGCATAGCTAGAAGTGGTGACGAGCATCCATGTGGCCGAGTGATCATCTTGGTATATGTAAAATTGTTTCTCAAACACCTCCTGCGCCCCAAAGGCCCTAACACTGGCCAACCCATTGAGTGTAATGCTTACGTGTGAATACACTGGACTCCGGGCTATTGGTTATTATATTGGTTATTATTTTTTTATACATGAAATTTCAATCACAATTCTAATATAAATAGTGTTAAGTCTATGGGACTAACGCTAAGCGCATGAGACTAATGCTAATTCTATGGAAAATGCTAACAATAGTATTGAAAATGTTTATTGATTATGATAATTGTTCCTTAATTCTATTAAAACTTACTTAAACCTTCGGCCCGTTTAATGTCCCTAGCTGACTTGATGTAAACAGCCCTAGCTGCCAATACCACTACAATTAAAATGAATGATGGTATAATCATATATGGATTGACAATCAGTCTGATCCCTCGTAACACAAACTCATATCCTTGAGCTCTATCTCTCCCTTCTGTGGCCAATCGGGAGGGGGTTTATGGCTATCCTGTGCGCTGAGGGCCGCCTCTTGTGGTAGTTTTGAGTACTCAATGATGCGCTCGACTGAAGTCATCTGACTCTCCACTTCTGCCGACTGACGGACACCATATGTAGTCAATCCCGTCAACATTAGAGCTAATTTATTTGATAAATTAATGTTGTGTTAGCTAAAATAGCTTTGAATAGTCAATGATGTATTTTAAACCTAATTATTTAAAACTATTTGATCTAATTTTTAATGTCAGGAAGTTATTGATAATTTGATCATTTTGGCTACCACAATTTTACAATAATTATATTAAAAAGTAAAAATGTTCTTGTATTTTTACAATAGATAACACGCACCCCATGAATAACCCGCTCGCCCATATATTTGCCAAAAATTGGACTTTTTCCTATACAACGAGGTGTATGTAGATAACACGCGGGTAGTGCACGGAATTTTAGGGTAGTTAGATTTTAAAATAAGGGGCCGGTCAATTAATTCCAATCGTGCGGTTTTTTAAATTTCTCAAAAACTAAAAGAGATGATTTAATTCTGTAAACAGCATTCAATGGCCCCATATACGCGGGATCTTTTGCATAGAAGATCTATATATTTTGGTCACGTGGTATACAAAATATGGGACAATTCCAAATGGTCATGTTATTGGCCAAAACATAAGAAATATTTTCATGTTACCGGTAAAACCATAAGAGATATAGCGATGGTCCCCATTGGTAATTTGTAAAGAGATAAATTCTGCATACAATAAAAAAAAGAATTACTAAAATCTGATCACTAATATAGATTTTATGACTAAATAAAGACAGGCTTTTCGTAATGCTAATCTTATGGCATAATTTTAAGTAAGAAATATTAAGATGGTCCCAATACAAAATAGTTAGGGCAAATAATTGTGTACAATATACAAAATCGAACATGTATTTTAGGTTTTATCAACAAAAGAGTGATTGTTTTTATAAACGACAAATCTCATAAATATACTTGTTATTCATTTAACAAACAGATTATAATAAAAAATAAGCATAATAATTATTAATAAATTTTATAATTTACATTAAATCCAATACTATTTAAAATATTTTATTTTAAACATTTGGAAAAATTAATATTATTATAAAATACTATCACTCTTTTGCTGATAAAACCTAAAATACATGTTCGATTTTGATAATTCTTTTTTTTTATATTGTGTACAATTATTAGCTCTAACTATTTCGTATTGGGACCATCTTAATATTTCTTACTTAAAATTTTGCCATAGGATTACCATTACAAAAAGCCTGTCTTTATTGAGCCATAAAATCTATACTAGTGATAAGATTTTAGTAATTCTTTTTTTTTATTGTGTGCAGAATTTATCCCTCTACAAATTACCCATTGGGAACATCGCTATATCTCTTATGGTTTTACCGGTAACATGACCATTTGGAATTGTCCCATATTTTGTATACCACGTGACCAAAATATATAGATCTTCTATGCAAAAGATCCCGCGTATATGGGGCTATTGAATGCTGTATACAGAATCAAATTATCTCTTAGTTTTTGAGAAATTTAAAAAACCGCACGATTGGAATTAATTGACCGCCCTATTATTTTTGAATTTTAAATTCCCAGGTTTAATAGAGAATGATGTAATACAAACCTGACGATAAAGCAAGACCCGCCTCTCCCGCTTCTAATTGACCGGGAAATAACATAATCACCACAAATATGATTATTATATATAGAAAACACAATCCGTCTATAATTATAGCAAATGCATAACAAGCAGTGGTGACGAGCATCCAGGTGGCCGAGTGATCATCTTGGTATACGTAAAATTGTTTCTCAAACATCTCCTGCGCCCCAAATGCCCTAACACTGGCCAACCCATTGAATGTAGTGCTCACGTGTGAAAACACTGGACTCCGGGCTATAATTATTGTAAGAATTGTTATTTTTATTACGTATTTAATTTTTAAATTAAATCTTACTTAACCCTTCAGTCCGTCTAATGTCCCTAGCTGACTTGATGTAAATAGCCCTAGCTGCTACAAGCATTACAATTAGGAAAAATGCTGGTATAATCAAGTATGGGTTGACGATTGTGATCATGATTATTCCACCGATACCTTGAGTCATGCACTAAACAATATATATGATAAACATAGATAATTAATTTAGAATAATTCACATTAATTATGTGAAATAATAAATTACCACGTTTAAGTCAAACGCTGTACTTGGCAATTGCTCATCAATTGTACCAAGATCTTTTGAAAAGCGATTTAATATCCGACCTGTAAATATATTTAACATTATTTATTAATTTAATTAATATATTGAAATAACAAACCAACTGGGTTGCTGTCAAACACGGATATCGGGGCCCGTAATAGACGATAGAATATAGTGTTGTGGAGATTAACTGAAGCCCTCATAAACATCACAAACCATGTGATGGCTCTCAATAGGGATGCGATGAACAGCGCGGCCATCAGTGAGGAGTAGATAATCACATCTCTGTTTTGCTCAGAGCTGTTAATGTTATCTGTGTTTTGATTTTTGTCAGTCCTGTTGTAAAAATGGGAATATTTTAATGTAAATAAACATGGTCAGTGATTTGTGAATTATATACCATTTTGCTAAAAAATAGTCCGATCCATGCACAATAGTCTGGGCAATAATTGTAGATAATATTGTGGTGGAAAACAGCATAAGTCCGGCGCCCGCCTTGATAAATGTGCAATATACATTCCCGGATATTGAACCCGTTTCCCGGCCCTCGTCAGTTATTTTTGGTTCAATAACGTTCTCATCGTTCTTAATAAAAAAATATATTATTATAATATAATAATTATTTATTTACTTTATTATTAAATCTAGTTACATTTGGTGTCAAATTCTCTGCAACTAAAGTGCCCTGGGCATTTATTCTACTGTCAAAATTGTCATCCATATGTTGTTTTGCCTTATCGTCGACTTCTCTCTCCTGATCGCTGATAATAGACATGAAGTCTAAGCCCCGGGACTGGAGCTCATCATAGGATCCCAATCCCAGACACTTTCCCTCGTCGTTCAAAACCAATATTTGTGTCGCTTTTCGTATGAATTGGATTTGATGTGTGACTAGAATCCGGATTTTGTCGCACAAGTAGTCGACTATACATCTGGTGTTCATTATATTGTAATAATAATACTGTAATACCAATAATTATAACATTGTAATCATTGCATTACTTATCAAATATATGTTCGGCAACAGACGGGTCGACAGCACTCAACGGGTCGTCCATTAATACGATATCCGAGTTTCGGTAGAGAGCTCTACACATAACACACAAAGCTCTACAGTATAGTAAAGTGCACTGTAAATGTATATAACAAAATGCACCCAAACCTGGCTAACGTGATGCGGGCGTTCTGTCCGCCCGACAGCTGTACTCCTCTCTCACCGACTAATGACTTGTCTCCGAACGGGAATCGCTCAAAGTCTCGCACCAAAGCGCACACCTCTACCACTCGCTTATACCGGGATTCGTGATATTCGGCTCCAAAAAGTATATTATTTCGGACACTAGTGTTGAAACTCCAGGCCTCCTGAGAGGCGTAGCTCATCGATCCCACCGTTTCTATACTTCCCGATAGAACCGGCAGTTCATTCAGAATTGTCATTAAGAGTGAGCTCTAAATAATTATAAATTTTATAACTTTTAATAGTATAGGTATTCAATCGTATGCATACCTTTCCCGCCCCCACGGGCCCAATAACAGCCAATAAATCCCCGGCTCTTAAATGTGTTGATATATTCTCAAGTGTTAAATACGTACTTTCCTATCAATATATTATATTATATTTTAAATAAATAAAATACACAAATAAAATATAATTTCATACATCACTCCATTTGGCTGTTATGTTATTAATGGATACTTCGGGAGATTGTTTGCCATTTGCTTTACGTTCAGATAAATTATTTGGGTTTTGAATGGATTTTATTTGTGTTTCTCCTAATTGCAAAAATTTCTAAAAGAATATTAAATGTTTATATAATTTAACATTTACACCATGGTCACTATTACTTCAATTCTATTACAAGAAACTAATAACTCGGCGCCCAAAGTAATTAACTCTGGAAAGTATTCGGTCATATTTTCTTTTATGCAATTAACAAGCAACATGGACACAAATACAGCTTTAGCGTACAGTACTCCACCGGTGAGTACCAAGGTAATGAAACAAAAAAATAGCATCAGCTTAGATACCAAAGTATACAGCGATATATTGACTGTCTTTAGAAAGCAAGATCTCTGTATGCACGAAACTTCCTGTCTAATTATTTTGACAATTATATTATGGCATAATATTACTTAACAAATTGTCATAAATTATGGTCATTTACTTTCTGGCCTCCGCCACGAGGTCTGCGAAGGACTGTTCCCAGGAATACATTTTAACGATACCCATACCTGATATGACCTCAACCATGTGCTGAAGCCTAGTATCAGTGAGCTTTGCGGTCATTAATCTGAATGCAAATGTTTAATTACTGAATGTTTTGTTAATGAAGTTAATATAAACATGCATGCACATACCTAACTTTTGAAAACATTTTGCCCATGCAAAATTGAAATACAATTAATAAAACTAGTAAAGCAACAGACACAAAGCTCGCCCATCCCATATAAGTGTACATTATATATATAACGATAGCCGACTGAATTGGCGCTATGATTAAATAATTGACGACCATTGTAAACTAAATTATTAAATTAGTTATTTAGAACATTATTAAATTAATCATCTTGATAGATTGGAGTAACTATAATACATACCATATCAAATCGATATACATCGTTAGACATTAAATTTATAATCTGACCCACAGTTGTCTTTCCCATTGATAACTGGTTCAGTTTGAGTGACTATTTTTAACATTGATTTTAATTGAATTATACTATTTACAACTTTTGTTGTAGAGATGTTACTAACCTTTTTATACAGTAGGGTACAACAGGCACTGCGGGCGCGCATTCCTAGTTGGGCTAAACGAACTCTACTGTTATTAAACAAAACAGTGTTTAATATAGCGCACAGACAAACACCACCGGCCGCCACACAAGCATGGTCATATTTGATTAGATCACCGCCACCAAAATAATCAATAACATAACCGAGTAGTAAAGACTGTATCATACGAACCACACACTCCTATTATGCATAAATGTTCATTAGATTATTCATGATTATGGAAAATCACTTTAAAACTGGACTTGACATAGTATTATATGTAAAGTTATGTCATTTTATACGATATGTACGTTGTATGTTAACACCTGTACGGCGGACGCTGTTGTTGCTCTGCTTATATACAACTAGCCATCAGCCCAGTCCACAAAATCTGTTATCCATTCCCTCCCACCCCTATTCTATATTACGCTTTTTCTATTTTCCCATTCAATCTAGTGTTTTATATTATAGATTACAATTATGATAAATTATGTATTATTTTATATAACTCACGGTAAATAACATGAATATGAATGGTAATATATTATATTTGGCAAACGTCTTGAATAAAGCTATATACAATCTTGGTGTTTGTTTCTTCTGTTCAATGTCCCAATTTCTACATAAATATAATGTTAGTTAAAATATCATGATTATAATTTTTTAATTCTATAGATACGATAACATGATAATTAGAAAATAATAAAAATAGACATGGTGAACTAAGTATACCTGCCATGCTTTACAATACTGAACCTGAATCATGTTCTGTCCCGTAATGCTGTATCAGGTAAAACAACAGGACATGATTTAAGAGCAGTATTTTAATAACTAGCTGATATACTTAATTCAACAAGGTGTAAAATAGATTAACTTCTCTAAACATTCCACCAAATACTGGGAGGTGTCGTATTGCGAGCACCGGTACATGTCATCAAAATCCAAACGATTATTTCTCATGCCCTTTATAAATACTGGATATATCCATCTAGGTCATAAAATTATAATTAATAATAAAGTATAGCCATAGACCTAAGCTGAGATCCCATGTGAAATCACATGTGGTGGGGCCGGGGGTGAGGGGAGCCGAACGATCCTATAAACCACATTATTCAATTGTGGTTATAATTATAATTAGTTTTACATCATGTTTAATTTAGTACTCATTTGCAAAATAACTAAATATTAGATTTGAGCACAGAATGCGAAATACAATAATCATATCATAATCTAATACAAAGTGATTAACAATAACTTATTTTCAATAAATAATCCTGAATTATCAACATTAAGCGTCTAATTAAAGTAATATACAGATCACATATGTTTTGATAAAAGTTACATGTCAAAAGTAGATTATTTACTCACGAAAATATTAGCTTTTGAATCCAGTTTGATTTGTCCCATGGTGATTTTCTGATGATTTTAGCGCTAACATTCATGATTTGCTAAAATTGCATTATGTTTTGTGTGCAAAACTGTGAACACAGTGTACAGTGCATAGCAGTGTTATATTGTAATAAAATATTTTTATTCATACAAATTGTAATTTCAGATCGAATTGCAATTAATTAAAACATTTAATTAACTCTCTCTCTCTCTCTCTCAAATAAATGTGATAAAATAAATTGAAATATGGTAATTTGTATGCACTAGATAAATTATTTCAAAAACAAATACTATCAAAATCAAATAAGAAGTAAACGATCATGTACAGTATGTAAATTGATTTATTATTCAGTGATTATTACCATATGTAATAAATTGTATACAATTAATACAAAAATAAAACAACTGAGTTTCAAACATCAAATAAACTAATTTATTTTGTGTTAGTTATATAAAATTAGCAAAGTGTTATCAAGCTAAAAATTTTATTTCAGTTATACTTATAAAATTAATTAATTAAAAAACAGATTGAGTATAATATTGAGAAATATTTTAGTCTATTATTTAAATAAGTAATTAAATAATTATTTAATTAAAAACACATTAATATTACAGAACATATAAAAAACATTTCCTATAAAAATACTTATTATAAAACCTATTGTTATAATAAATGCCATTATATAATGAAATACATAATTAATTAGCAAATAAAAAACACAATAAAACATAAATAAACCATTATTAAAACTGTTATGATTTTATAATATTCAATCGGACTGTAAAAATCATATCGGCTGAAATAGTCGTAATAATTAATTAAATAATTAATCACTATTTGTATTTAGCACAAATTTTAATCGCCAACTTTTTATACCATTTACGATAATAATCGGCAAATAATGTGAATTTGTTTTCACAAACATTTTTATTAAATAAATAAGTTTTCCCGACAATCGGTTCAATCGATAAATGTCTTAATTTGTTTGTAATTATAATGTTAATATTAATTAGTACCTGTATAAATTGATAATACAATACTTATTACGTTTACTTCACTTAAAATCTACACTAATATTAATTAAATTTACTCGACTGTATTCTTAGATTATATAAACAATATATAATTAATATTTTACTTTAATATGTCATAAATATTATATATCCTTGAATTCTCTCTCTCTCTCTCTCTCTCTCTCTCTCTCTCTCTCAAAACATGTGAACAGCACTCGTTAGGGAAGGGATGTTATCGAGTAATTTATATGTTGATAATAGTTGTCTAATACGAGTCTTACAATTGTTAGATATTAATGTCTGATTTTCATATGAAGTCAACGGATGTGATGACTGCTCGCTAATGCTAACCATATATGCGATAATTACTTAAATTTTTAATTTTATTTAATTAATAATATAAACTAAAGCTGACACATTTGAACATAAAATTTATTCTATGCAGAATTTGTGGTTAAAAATAATTTTTATTTATATTTATTACTTGCTAAATAACTAAAACTAAAAATATCACTCATTTCCCTCTTATCCATATTTTACGTGAAAACCGCCAGACATTAACAAATTATTTCACATGTTTTAACACAGGTTTACAAAAATAATTCATTTAATTTATAGTTAAACAAATATTTTGAACAAATACTATACATATCATATTATACAAAATATAATATACAGTTTGGTGTTCATGACTTTATGTAAGGTTATAAATTGTAACTTATAATGCAATCAAATTTTTTGTAATTCTCATTAAATCTTTACTTATTTTATTAAAAGTAAGAGGCTTTTTAATAAATGTGAAATTTTACTATTATGTGATTTATTAAATAAATTATTATTATTAAAAATTGATAAAAATTTTAAACTTTTTGATTAATATTTTGTTAAAACAAAATAACATGTTTATTAAATTATATGAAAACTATTTTTAAAAAATTACATAACGTATTATTTTATACAGAATTTTGTTTACAGATTAATTGTCTTAATTGTTTGAATAGTTAAAACAATTGTTTATTGTTTTTGATGTTTAATAATATCTTTAAAATATTCATAAATATATTAATTTTTTGTTCAAAGAATATAATTATAATTATTATTTTAATCATTTCAAAAATAATTTCACAAAATATTCAGTTAAGATAATTACAAATAATTTTTTTATAATATTAACTTTAGTTATAAATATAAAAATGATTAATAAAAACAGCGATGCTATACGATAACCACAATTCGGGAGGTGCATAGAATTAGCACTGTCCATATGATTAGAATTAGTCCCATAGACTTAAAATTGTTCATAGACTTTACCCATGTTAATCCTATATAATAAACTTAAGCTGTTATCCTATAGAAACCTATGTCAAAGCATTTTCCCATAGATTTAACAAAACTACCTTTTACTTTCATATTTCGCTTGCCCATAGTATATAATTTCTCACAAGATTGACATTACCCATAGGATAACATTAGCCCATGTTAAGCCTATGGGAAAAGTTCCATAGGATCAGCATTATCATTGTTAAGTCATAGGATTAACAAGCAATTTCATGTTAAATCCCATAAAACGAGGGTCGGGGAAGGTTTTAGTCAAAAGATCTTATATACCACATTATTCATACTAAATTGTGGTTAAAAATAGTTTCATTTTATTTTCAGCAAAATTAATAAATAAATAATTTTTCCATAAAATCAGTTAACTCGATAAATCCTCTAATTTTCCTAAAATTACTTCACATTCGGGTCTTAGTCTCCAATCCGTCGATCCATTTGTTGAGTATTTATTAGCACTCATTTCAACCAATAATTTGTTTATTTTTTGTAATTTATACTTCACATAATTGCGATTATTATTTTGCAAAATTAAAGTCAACCTAAATATATAATTGTAATTACCAGAAATTTAGATAAAATTTATAAACAGGGTATAAAATGTTTTATTTTATATAATATAATAACATACTTTCCGTCTTCAACATCCTTTGCATTAAATCCAAATATTTTTGCTCCAATGAGTGCCAGACTATAGACATCTACTAAATGGTTGTATTCAGTGGTCTGTCCTTCGGGTGCCATATAATCAATATTTCCAACATCTGGGCTAAAGTTAACACTACTTTGTGTGTAATTATCACTCAATACGTCGATTCCTTTAGACAAACCGAAGTCACATAACTTTATATATCTTTTTAGATATCTATAATACAAAAAATTGTAGTCAATCAACACATTATCGGGTTTGAGGTCTCTGTGAATGACATTATTTTTATGCAAATACTCTACACTTTCCACCAATTGTTTGAATAAATCATGTGAATGAAAATATTGAAATTCAGACTTTATTTCCTGTCTTTCATTTCCTAAAAGTTGTTTTAAATTTCCGACCAAACAATCCATAAGAATGTATAGACAGTTGTTTTCAATCCATGAATAATAGTATTGAATGACATATTCTGAGCGCAATTTTATCAAATTTTGCGTTTCGTTTAAAATGTTTTGTTGTTGTTTTTCACTCTGACCTTAAAGTTAATCAATAATTAAATATTAATATACAACGCTTTCAAAAATTGTTTACCATTTAATGAACATATTTTAATAGCGTATTCCTGTCCAATGTGTTTATCCTTAACTTTATAAACTTTCCCAAAACTACCCGATCCTAACTCTTCCAGTGTTTCATACATTTCTATGTTATTTATTTCATGATTAGTATCTATAATAATTTATAATAAATGGTTAATATTAATAATAAATTACTTATTACGCTTGACTTACCAAAATGTTGTATTTTATTAAATGTTTGAACACAATTAATTGTTTTATAAGTTAATTTATATTTATTAATAATGTATTCATCAAATTTGAAATATTTTGTTTCAATAAATAATTTCATATTTTCATTGTATTCATACACTTTTTCACCACTAATTACAACTATGGTTTTTCTATAACTTAATTGAACAAGATTATTAAACAACAGATTTGTAATTTTAACAATTTTGTTATTATCTAAATCATAATAATAAACTTTGTTATCATTTGATAACATAATTATATCTTTTCTTACTTTACATACAATTCTAATATTATTGACGTTTATTAGTAATTTTGATGTAATTGTTGTTTCATTGTGTCTTTTATTAATCCACATAAACACCTTTCCATTGGATGTAATGCCAAATGATGTCAAGTCATTACAACACATAATGTCCACAATTTTATAGTCAACGGGAAATTGTATTTCAATTGGTTTTTGTGTTTCTATTAAATGGCATTCCCATTGATATACCCGTCCATCGGATGTTAGATAAATAGCTGTGTATTCAAAACACGATATTTTCTCAATACGTATATCACGTGAATTACATAATAATATTTTGTGCGGTTTATTATAAGGTTTTTCAAAGTGTAAGCTATTAAAACGCCAGCCGTATATCTCATGATCACTATTTAAAGCCAATATATACTTTTCTCCAATGAAAAATTGTTGTATATTTTGATGACTTAATTGTTTGAATTCTTTTGGTGTACTATGTCGGTAGTACTTTATGCCATCATCAATAATGCCTAACCCATAGACCCGATCATCAGTTGTCACAAACAATATGTTTTGCACAAACTTGTGATCACTGAAAACATGAAATAATTTGATTTCTTGTCTCAAATTATGAGGAATTTTGGTACAAATTTCAAATTTATTCAACATCTCAGCCATAATTGGCAGAAGTAATCACAAAATCAAATGTTAATATCACAACAAATATATTATTTTAATTAAACACATTAATGATTTAATTTTATGTAAATTTTTGTTATGATCATTTTATAAATACAATCTTATTAATTAATTAGAAATATTTATACAATAATTATTAATTAATAATTGTATCAATTAATAATGCAATACTTATTACGCTTTATTTAAAACTCACATTAATATTGTTTACGATGTAAACTTTACGTTGAATTATTTAATAATCGCATAATGATAAAACTGAGCGAAAAAATAGTTAACCATGTTATGCAATAATTTGTAACGTATATTACAGCACTACACATACATGTCTCACAGCCAATCATGTATTTATTAATTGCAATATAATAAAAACAAAACTATTACTCATTTCTTCGTATTGGTGTTTACGTGACAAACGCCAGACATAAACATATTTTATTAAATATTTTAACACAGGTTTACAAAAATAACTTATTTAATAACCAATCGGTAATTGCAAAAAGTGTTAATTTATAGTTAAACAAATATTTTTAATAAATGCTATACATATCATATTATACAGCATAGATAACACATGTACAGTAGAGTCCTATGCACATTATGTTAATAGAGTATATTGAATAACTGTTTAATTGATTACATCTACGTAAATGACATTGAAATAAAGTGCTGGCGCCAAGAGTTTGAAATATTTTAAAAACATTTACTGTTGAGAGAG